CGGGTTACAATCGATTGAAAGATTTAAATTGATTACGGATTAAAACCCGGTTTTTCTTGCCCTAATCCAGAATAATCGATTAAATCGATTATTTTTTCAATGGATTTGGCGATTTTAATCGATTTTAATCCGATTTTGAATAGAATATTGAATTTTTCGTCGAAATTGGTGACTTTTACACTTTTAATCAAAACAAATCAGGATTTTGCTACATATTTTTTTCACTGGGCATTATCAGAATTTCTTCAACTCCATCTGCTGAAATAGATATATATGAAGATTTAAGTAACCAGAGTTATGTGTTCAAGTTCAATAGATGTGCATAGTGTTCATTAGGGGTGTTAGGATTCACATTCCTTTGAGGTTCCATTCTCTGAAAAACGCGAACGCACTACATTTTTTATTTTTGTACAATTTCGAACAGTCAGAGATGGGCGTGCCCAGTCAGTGGGATATCCCTAGTATATTTGTCTATATAGCTTCAATAGATTATCATAAAAATTTGATTTTTTTACCAGTTGTAGTACATATATAGACCTAATGATCTATTGTTGTTAGAGATCTATATCTTGCTATGAATGATGATTACTAAGCGTTCTCTTATGATCATTATACTGAAGGTGTTTCATATTGAATTTACTGACATTTCACTCTCAGCATATGCTTATGTGCAATAATTCTTTATTTTATCGCCTTCTCGTGTTACAGCTACACATTTTTCGTTCTATCTCTAATAACTTTTCTTCGATCAGTTTTAACTTGTGCACATTCATTTATATCTCTCTACTATGTTCTCTCAACGAATCGAATGGTATTGTTTTCAATCTCAGTCAGCTCCAACTGATCAACGAAAATATTGTGCCGTTTGTCACTCGATGTTAACCTGGACATGCATCGGCTCTGGATGATCGGGCTTATATACAAATTATTATCGACACCGTGGTAACTGCAATTTCTGTATGGTAGAACTTGTTGAAGATCGACAACAAGAAATACAAGATAAACAGGTTGCTATTCAACAAGAATTTCAGACTCTAAATAACGGTAAGTAACATTAACCTTCTCATATGACACTTACAGTTCCATTTAATGATACTATTCTACAAGCATAGTCGACAGTTAATCGCTAAAAAGCGTTTTTGTTTATATCTTGTAGAACAACGTCCATGGTCAGAATGACAACGAAATGATGAATCGTGTGTACAACATACTGGACTTGATGTTGAAAAAGTGCAACAATTATATAGTATGTGTGAAGAATCACTTGTGAAGTAACGTCTCCATAGAAACGAGCAACATACAAATACTACCGTCACACCATACTTATCTCCTATGAATTTACTAGTAGTTACACTATGGCATTTGAAGCATTACCATTCAGAACGCTATATTTCTACAGAGCTTAATTTGGGCCCATCAACAGTCAATTATTTTTTGAACGAAATTGTGGATATACTGCATTCTTGTGTATACGAGAAATTAGTATCATTATCTACCAATATTGCTAGTAGAACCAGTAAACATGGACCTGAACGACATCACAAGTTAATAGTTGATTCAACTTTTATTGCAATTTCTGAATCTTTGGATTCAAATCAACGTAAAGCATATTACCATAGAAAAGGCTCAACAAACTATGCCTTAAAAGTGCAAATAGCTTGTGACTTTAACCATCGCATAGTACACATATCAGGATGTTATCCTGGTAGTGTACATGACATTACAATTCTAAGAGAATCTGTACTATTGGAATATGCAAATGAATCTGTCCAAATCATTGCTGACAAAGGATATATAGTTGAAGAATATGTAATTACTCCAAAAAAGAAACCTCATGGACGTGAATTAACAGATGACGAGAAGAAATTTAATCGTGACATTAACAGTGCAAGAGCAGCTATTGAAAATATCAATCAACGTCTTAAAACCTATGCTATTCTAGGAAATATCTACAGAGAGGTAATTGATGATTTTCATAAGATAACAAAGATCGTACAAGTTGTCTCATCTGTATGCAATATCCAATTAAACAAATATCCTATTCGTAAATCTACGTCGTAACAATTTAGTTATATTTGTCGATTAAGTACTTGATAATAAAACTTAGTTTGTAATATTTCATGTTATTTCACATATCTCAGTATGAATAAGTACATGTCAATAAATTGAATATAAAACACCTTCAGTATAATGATCATAAGAGAACGCTTAATAATCATCATTCATAGCAAGATATAGATCTCTAACAACAATAGATCATTAGGTCTATATATGTACTATAACTGGTAAAAAAATCAAATTTTTATGATAATCTATTGAAGCTATATAAACAAATATACTAGGGGTATCCCACTGACTGAGGATGCCCAGATATGCAAAGATTCTTCTATCTATTTTCTAGCTGGCTACTGTGTATTCCAAGTTTTTGAGAACAGAAATATAGACATAAGTTCTCGTTTCTAGGAATGAGAACTCAAATGTGTTCAAATTAAAAATCTTAGAAGTTCACATATGAAACTAGCAAAAAACTGGGTAAATCAAAAAGTCTAACTTTTAATGGTTAAACATGATATTTCAATAAAATGACTTAGGTGATTCTATACTTAAAGTAGTTGAGAGTAAAACAACATGGATCCTCAAGAAATTATTTTTCAGAGACTACCACGAACACTCTTATAGTTTGTTCGAATCACCATTCTATTCTAGTCTATTATTTCGCCTATGAGTCCGAATCAAGATTGAAAACAAGTCATTTCTTAAATAAATGTTAAAGAGGAGAATGTCCATTGAGCTTTTTCTGTGAAACAATTTTTCTTTTTTTGGCAACCAATACAGAGAAAAAGTTATGTATTGTTCTATTTTGTCGTCAGTTAACGGCTCAAATGGCATATGCAAATAGGATTTATCTTCATCTGTGAGAAGCTATATAGGACTACAAAGAGTACAGATTAGTTTCTGTCCAACACATTCCTATTGACCATCCTGATCATTAATTCTAGCCTGGGGGGAGGGGAGGGGGGGACTGATTGAAAAATGTCGTCCTTCACATTTTTTTATGGTAAATTTGAGAAAAAAATCTTGAAAGACTAAATTATGACTATAAGTCCTTTAAATTTATTGATTAATCAGAATTGATTGTGCAACCCTTGTTTTCGTCATAAATTGTATTATTAATTCTTTTCAGTTAAATAAAGTAAAATTAACTTGACGGGACGGACTGTGAGTAAACTTCACGAGCATTGCCGAACTAAAAATAATTCAAAGAAAAATAATTATATTCCGTGTGAATTTTCAAATTTTTCAAACACTAAAACTTGCTCGAATAAAAATAATCACGAACTGTATATGCGAAAAGACGTCAATTTCAAGTGAAAATATGTCAACAATCATCTATCCTTACCCCACTTGCTTGTCCGAGAATACATTCAGAATGTTTGTTTAATCGAGTTTGCCAGCGTACTTGAAAAAAAGCAAGAAGAAACACACAAATATTGTAAACGAGCATAATAAGAGCCAATAACCAATTGAAAAAGAAGCCTATAGAAAATCCGAAACCAAAAGTAGCAATAGCTTCAGTGAACACTCCCAAATATGTTCCAAGTAGTTCCTGGATAGCTAATGCCTCGCTTGAAAGGCGATTACAAACAGAACCAGAACGATTTTCAGAAAGATCAAAGTAGGCCATTTCTTGTCGCAGAAGCTGAGCAAATGCTTTCGCACGTATGCGTTGTGTCAATTTTGAGCCAGATACAGCAAATGCAGTGTACTATGTAGATAAGGAACGTCACATTCAAAACTATTGAATAATACAATCATTTATCCTATCATGATAATTCTGTGAATTAGTAGTTCAATGATTGGAAATTATTAGAACATAAGCTATAAATTACATATACTTATTTAACATGAGATTATATTGAGAACTTTAACAAATTCCTCATCTCATCTCATATATGTGTGTGTAACAGCTGAAAAACATATTTCGATAAACAACTTACATCCATTTCTAATAGGAACGAATTGATCACGACAATGAAAAATTTACTGTTATACTGTTAGAAGTTTCAAAAAGAGTACAGACACACCCAACCCTCTTATAGATATCCCTTCCACACAGACAGCGCTGCTTGAAAGTGGATTTTCTAACTACAACTATTGGATGCTACAATAAGATAGAAACAAGATCCTTCTTACGTTGACCGCTTTGATTTTTTGATTTTCATGACCTTAAATTCGCTCTCAAATCTATTCTTTTCTGTGAAACACTATTGAAAATTAGGATTGAAGTACAAAGTGAGAAAATTAAACCCAAGCCATTCTGTTCCAAAGACTGTGAGAGAGATATCGGCATGATATTGTAGATTTTTGGACCTCAGGCTGCTGAACTTTTAGGAGTTTGAAGTTATTTTCTTTTCTCGCTTATAGTGCGATGCGTTAGTCCCATTGACAGATGGTCACAGACACATGAAAACAAGACTCTCTGAACCTTCTACATAGGATTGTAATAAAAATAAAAAGCATCTTCATGCCCATTTGAGACGAATTCATCGTGTATCATATTTTTGTTAAGTATTATCAGCTGTTGTCATAGCTTTTGCGCGTTCTTCTATATATTGTTATTTTCCTCTCCTCTTTACATCATATGTATTCTCATTCTACGCGATATTTATTTTCACCCTCTACCCATGATAGGACCTAAAGGGACATATGATTCAGACAACAGGTTGCACATGAAATAGAGAAAAGCAAGCAGAAGCGTATCAGAAAGCACAGAACAGAATGATATACATGTCTTCTACGGCCATTCAACGAAGGATTAAAATACGACCTTCGAACGATGCACATACATTCCACAGATACGACCAACAAATTGCTTGAGTTACTGTATGACGTTGTGCTTAGATATATTTCTTGTACGATAGAGCTGTAGCCAGTATGCTTGTACGATATGTTTAGACAGTTTGCTTGTGCGGAAAAGAGAAATCGAACCTCGTACGCTCCGGTTCCGAATCTGAGACATACCTCACCCGACCAGAGCTTCCCGTAAATCATATGTATTTTCCCCATTCTATGTGTCTATTTTCTTTTGTTTCTGTCGTATATTTTTTCCCATCCTGTCATGTGTATTTTCCCAAATGCTCGTGGGATATTACTTTATCCTAAGTGTTGTTCGCCAATCTATATATAGTTGAGATTTTATTACACTAAATGAGATGGAGAATATATGTGTATCTGATATAACTATCTTTGGCTATTACTCCGTAGAAGGAAAATTTTTTCGACTGAAATAACTTCACATTTTAACCCCATAGAGATTGTGCGTCGAAAGTTTTCTTATTTGTGAGCGTAGTATTTTAATGTGAGTTCTACATTTTAGTCTCATCAAAATTGCGCTGACAACTTTTAAGCCCTATTTCTATCTAGAACTTAAAATTAGCTATATTCACGTTGTTGTTCTTTTTTGAAAATCATTCACTATATTGGTATCCTACGCTCGTTGCTTGTTGAATCTGCATGCATTCTGTGATCGTCTTCAATGGGTCATGAGCTGTTCGAAAAATATGTAGCTTTACTTTAGCCAATTTCGGCATCTTTTTCCTTTGCTCGCGCATAGCCATCAATCCACTCGCTTGTTATGTCGTTCGCCTTAAAGTATACAACCAGTATTATAATTAACAACTTAAACATATCATTCTTTTATTAATATGAATATCAGTGTCCGACACGGGTCACTTTTTTGTGACCCGACCCGACCCGAGCTCAAAAATTTTTTTCGTAACCCGACCCGAGGTGAGGGATAGTTTTTGGCCAATAAAAGTGGATTTTTTTCAGACATTGACAATCTTCTCAGTAAATCGATACATATTCTATAGGTATTCGAAATAAAGAAATGATTATCTCATCTAAAATTGCTGCTTTTCTTATGTGAAGTTCGGAATTCGTAAAACTTTTGTGACCCGACCTGACCCAACCCGAGCATGATGTGACCCGACCCGACCTGACCCGAGGTCAAGTATGTTTTTCGTGACCCGACCCGACCCGACTAGTGTCGGACACTGATGAGTATGGAACGGATTTATGATAATCAAAATTTTTCGAACATGTGTACTTCTAAAGTATTAAGCTACTTTCTAGAAAACTTCCAGCATCAGTGCCGAATATTGCAGATGAAATCTATCAATTTTTTTGGAAAATTCGCATCATATTTAGATTTGGGTGCCACAGATGGGATCCGTTCGTATTTTTCTTAAACCAAACCCAATCGAAACGATCGAATTTTTAAAAATTTCGAACTGAACCAATGCAAGTTAAATACTTTCACAACTTACTTTCAGCTCGTAACGAGAATAGTCCTAAACTATCTGTTCGAGGAAAATCTTTTATACACAGTGACATTGCGAATGAATCAGATCGCGCAGCAAGTATATGCACTCTACTTTTAAAACAGTTAAAAGCGACTTGAAAATTTGAGTTGAACTTATGAGCTTTTTATCTCACTTGTAATTACGTAACTGAAGTTAGCCCAAGATTCGAGTAAAACCAGCCAAGATTCGCCTAGGAACCTGTTCCAGACGTTCCAATCAGTGTTTCAAGTACAACTCGACGAGCTCTATCTAATGGTGTGTTAAATTTTCCATAACTAAAACTACGGTTTTCAGGGTGTTTATGGTACCATCTATGGTCGCAAATATCATAGTTTCAGCTACGAAAAAAACTGAGCATACCATTGGATAGAGTTCGTCGAGTTGTACTTGGAACACTGATTGGAGCGTCTGGAACAGGTTCCTAGGCGAATCTTGACTGATTTTCCTTGAATCGTGTGCTAGAATGTCAATAGAAAAATACAGGATTTGGAGATTTTTGAACCATAGTTTAACACATTCGACCCGACGTCGCCCACCGGTGGGCGACGCTATAATTTAACGAAAAATCGTATAGAAAAGCACTTTCTTTTGCTTTTTTTTAAGCAGGAGATTAGACGTAAGCTGTCATATCTTCTGTCTTCAGTACTTTGTTTGAATTCTTTATTCGATAGCATAATGCTTATCATTAAAACACTCGAGACAAAAAAATTTATCACAGTCAGAACAGAATGTTTTGACTTTCTTTGCTGCTGCATTGCTCGCTTGTCTTGACTGTTCTGCCCTTTCCTTCGCATAGCAGCCAGTACACCGTCTACCAACATTGCGCGTAGATCCTTCCTTTTCTTCGAGCTTGTGATCAGCGAATTTGCGTTTCGAATACCTTGCTGGTTGTTGCCTGGAGCCATGTTTCAGCTTCTCGATCGGCGTGCCAAGCAGTAAAGATTGGACAAGATTTTCACGAAATTGCAAGATGGTCACTTTGCTTTCGATGTAGTTCTCCTTGTATATCAAATAGCTATTTACTAGTGCCGTCCCAAAAACTAATTCAAATGCTACCTTTCGGTACCATTTTACTGATTTCCTGAGAGACGTGTAATATGTTGATAACTGGTCAGATAAATCAGTGCCTTGTCTTCCTTTATTATAATCTAATACGACTTGGGGCTTCATGATCGACTCATTTTGAAAATTTAATTTTCCACTATCTACTACACTTGCTGAATGTGACGGTCTTGTAGATATCATCAAGACATCGTTCTTGTCTCGCCACCTAATTAATTTAATTCCATCTTTGTTCTGAAGTCCACAAACTTCTCCACGACTAAGATTTTCTTCAAGAATTCTACCTCCTGATCCAACACGATTCGTTCGAAATGTTCCAATGAGATATGTATCATGTTCCAACAAACATTCCGCCAGGGAAATACTGGTAAAGAAATTATCAGCTACGACGGTTCGATAACATCCATCAAGACCATCTAATAGTTTCATTACTACTGTTTGAGCATGTCCGACACCTGCCGTTGAATCTTGCTCACCGGTATAAATTACATAATTCCAAACATAACCACTGGTCGCTGCTAATTTGTACATCTTTACACCGTACTTGTGTGCTTTTCCAGGTATGTATTGTTTGAATAAAAGTCGGCCACGCCATGGTATCATACTTTCATCTATACTGATAATTGAGCCAGGCATATATACTGATGAAAATCTTTCTTTTAGTAAATCTAAGAGTGGCTTCAACTTGAACAGTCTATCTTGGTTCGAATTCTTGTCATTGTTATTCGAAAAATGCCAAAATTTTAGGAGTGATTCAAATCTTTCTCTTGACATGGTATTTTGAATGATCTTTGATCCATATAATGGACTAGAGCTCCAATAATACTTCAGCTTCGGCATTTGTACTAATCCCATTTCAATAATTATTCCAAAGAATTTGAACATCTCTGTATTAGTGGTTGGTTTCCATCGTTGAAACATTGATCGTCTACTGATCACATGACTTTGCAAGTATTGCTGTGCGTATCGATTAGTTTCACGAACCATAAGGTCAATAATTTCGTCCGTAATGAAATGTCGATAGCAGTCGATAGGATTAATTGTGTTATCTTCTGAAGTAGAAGTCACATCCCCGATAAGCCCATGATCTTCCAAGAATTCTGCATCAGATTCTGGTTCTATTTCATTCCAGGCATATAAATTCATATTATCGTTATTGTCTTCGTCAGTAATTTCTTCGTCAGAATTGTCAAAATCAAGGTGCGTTGTATCAAACTCATCATTCAGTGAACTCACTTCACTGAATGAACTAGCACTACTTTCTGTATCGATTTCTTCGAACGACATGTGAAGTGCTCCAAAAATTCGGTTGTATTTATATGCAAAACGATATAGATAAGAGAATAAGGGAGAAAATACTGGAAATTTCTTTCTTTTTCTCACACATGCTTCGTACAATATACAAAAGAACGAAAAACTAACTTAAGCCATTAGTCACTTGGTCAGTAAAAAATGACTCATTGTTTAGTAGTATAAACAAGAGAACGACAAATAACCAGTAGAATATAGCCAAAAGGTCATTAAGTGCATTTATTAGAAGATAATTGTTCACGAAAATGAATAATCTGAAAAAAATTTTACAAAAACTGAGTCGGGTCGAATGTGTTAAGAGTTCTACTTCCCAATCTAAAACTCATCTTTCAAATTTATGCTCACTTTCGATTCTCTGTTTCTTAGTCGGAACAAAATAAATCAAGAATTTCTTTATAATTCCTGCTAATAAAGTGAACAAAAAACAATACTTTTCATGTTCACAATGTTTAATTTTGTAAATTCGATGGTAAATGGAGTTGTCATTGTCCTGAGATTTGAATTTTTTCCTTTAACTTATTAGATGAGGTGAAAGAATTTAATTCATATTCATCGAAGGAAGAATGATTGCTTTAGTGGAAATATTATTTCAATCTATTGTTTTTAAAGACGAGTCATCTTGTATTGCTAGTCAATCGCTTCTTGCTTAAGATCAGTTTTTTTGTGTTTTCAAAAGTTTTCTCAATGACACAGATGATTCAATCCGACAATAGAACCAGCTCGGACCCGACGGGAATCCGACCAAATTTATATGGATTTCTGCGGAGCCGACGAAATCCTATCGGAATTCTGGAAACTAAATAACATCCGGATTCCTAGGGTCAGAATCCGGTGGAATTCTACTATCGGAATTCGACGGAGTTCAACACTTCGCTCTGACTGATCTCTACTATTGTCACCAGTTAGTAATCAACACTTATTTAATTAGATAGGTTTCATCCGTCGGGTCCATTAGTAGATTCATTTCTCGGTACCCCATCGGATTCTATCGGTCGCATAAATCCAATCAAATCCGATAGGTCTCAGTATTGGATTCATTTACCTAAGTTGGTTTGATGAAGTTTCTATCTATTTCTAAGTCTTTGTGTTAATTAGACAAAAGTCATTCACTGCTTTTTGACCCTTGCAAAAATCGTCCACAAGAACTCTTATATATGCTATTAATTCTCGTATTCGACATGTCATAGAACAGACACTGTTATTTCATGTACAATGATTTACCGAATTTGAATGCTGCTTCTCTGCTCGTGTTGTTTTTCTAGAGAATTCTTGTAGTCGATGCAGCAGATCTTACAGGAAAAAATCCAAAATGAATCATAAAACTCTGATTTTAGGAGAAACTAGAGTCCGAAGTTATCAATTTAGATCCAAAGGTTTTTTTTTCGAGCCTCTCAAAAAAGAAGGAACATGAGATTTTGATTCTAAATCAAAGTTTTTCACTCTTCTCCAATATTTTCACGTCGAATAAGAGTAAACAAATATCTTGTCTGTAAACATTTGATTTTCCGTTTAGAATAAAACAGAATAAAGCGAACAAGTTTTCATTTAAACAAAAGAGAAATTTTTATAGAAATTTTTCATCGATGATTGATTGAAAATTTCTCTAAATATTAGTTTGTGTATTCCAATTCATTTTTATTGCTAAATTTTGTGTTATTATGTTCGAAAAATATTAATAATTTTATTTTGAGAGAACTTCTAAGTTGAAAAAGAAAATTAAAATAATGCTTATTTCGGTAAGTGTTGCTAAAGTTTTATCATTTTCAAAACTTTCGCAAGCAATTATAATCTTATTTGTGTATATCAATATCAAATGAAAAAAAAATGACTACGAAATAGAGACGAAGTTAAACATTTTTTTATACGAATTAGAAATAGCAAATATTAAAGCTTCAACGCGTTTAAAATTATTTTAAATTATCAACAGTTTTACAAAAAATTTCAGAATAATTTATATTTATGGGACTTGAACGAATTTTACCACACTTAAAGGTTCAATGAGACTTCAGAATTGAACTCATTTATAATTTTACTATTATTATTTGTTATTCGACTTTCAGATAACATAAAAAAGTTTTTTATTATCCTATTTGTACCATCTAAAAATAGCATACCAGTAAATAACTATTATGGCTTCGTATGTACCTCCAACATTGAATAATTCTTTAAAAACTGTTGAATGGATGTGGCAATCAAATCCAAATCCATTTTCAAAGTCTGAACCGACTACATGGAGTCATTATTCAGATTTAGAAAACTTAATTATCGAAGAAGCATTTCAGGATAAACAACCACGAGCTCAACTGGATGATTATTTTATTGATTTCAAAAGTAATCTTCGAATATCGAACACTGATGATTACACGCAAAGACCGATAAAACGAGTGGTGCGTAAAAGAGAAGATAAACACCTACGAGAAGCACGTTTTATGGATCTTCCTGTTAGTTGCGGACGTTCATTTGGTGGCGAATATGGTTGGATATCCCCATTTGTAATAGAAGTCAGACGAGACTTGAAACTCGAGCCAGACGATTTACCTTTGAAAAAACCAAACATGATTCCAATACTTGTCGAAAAGGCTGTACTTGGTATTATTGAAGAAGGAAAACATATTAGAAAAGAGCGAGAAGCCGAAAAAATGGCTAAAATGCTTAGAGAAACAAAGAATTCTGGAATGGAGGAAGTATGGAAATGTTGTGCTTATCTTTACACATTGGAAAGTTTCTTATACAAAACATTAAATGCAGCGATGAGATTAGTTGGAGATAAAGAACATGAACAAGTATGGCGAAGTAAAGTTCGTACATTAGGTCCATTCTGTTTATTATTGTGGGATGATCCATTTAATACAAAAGTGACAACCAAAAAGACACTTTATCGAGGAGCCACTCTAACTAAAGAACAGATCGATACTTATACAAAAATGGCCAAAGATGATAGGGCTTATGGATCATTTCAAGCGTATATATCATGTACTCGAAGTCCTGTAGTAGCTGACTTTTTTAGTGGAAACGTCTTATTCATCATGGAAGTATTAACTGCTTTTATTGCCGATTTGAGTCCATTATCTCCATATTCTGACGAAGAAGAAGAACTTGTTACACCAGGTGTTTGCTTCCGTGTTAAAAGTGTTGAATTTGATAGTACGAAGAATAAACATTTGATTTATTTGGAATTAAGACAACGATTTTCGCGTAAGTGGAAAAGTCTTTTATAATAGCCTTTAAAATACAAAAATATTTTTCTATACATTTCTATTCCCATTTTATAAGGCGCATTAAGATTATAGTAATGGACAACATTACCGTTTCTTCATAGAAATATGCTAAAGTTCAATATAATATTGTAACTAAAAAATAATAGATTAATTGACTATTTCTCGGTAAGAATATAAACTATGACTTAAAATATCCGGACATATATTAAAGCCTATTATGTTCGAACAGAAAATGCCAAAAATCTAAGTTCTTTACTTATAGATAGAGTGAAGTATGTCCTGTGAAATGTATATTTAGAATAAAATGTAGGACTTAATTTTAATGATTTTCAAAACCTTAAAAATGATTTTTTATCAAGGTAAATACTATGAACACATTTTTTTGTTTTAAATGAGACGTGTCTCGGAATTCCGTTCATTTTGAGCTCTTCAGGAAATTTGAATTCTGAAACAAATAAGAATTTATAAATATTGATGAATGCATTACGATTGAACTCTTAGAAATTTTGGAACCATAGAAACTAATGAAATTCCGAGAATTCTGAGAATTCCAGGAAATTCAGACATTTAAGGAATTCTGATAATTGAAGACACTAAATGAAATTTCATATTTGTAACATTTTACAAAACACGTTCAAGTGAAATACGTAAAGGAGCCGTAAAATTTGTTGAAATTGATTGAACCCATTGGCTGCTCCACTTTCGAAGAACTAAGTATAAACGAGCACCCTCATAATCCTGACAAGTGGTTCATCTTTTGTTAAAGCGAACAACGATAAATTCATGATTCCGATCATGACAGAAATTGGATAAAATATGCGCTCAAATGCTTTGGTTATCATCGGCATTTTTTCCTATAAATAAGTTTCGCAATCGGATGATTTATTTCTTACTGGTCTCCTATACGTATTGAATCGAGATTTTTGCGACTTCCATCTTCACCCTTCATAAGTTCTAGTAAACAGTTGCGTGGAAGCAGTAAGTAGCTGACTGAAGTTGGAAATGATCGGGTATACTCTCTACAAACGAGAAAAGGTGTCTAATTAATATAAGTTCCTTGATCACTTTGGAACTCGATAGATGCTAATTAGTATCAATGTTATAAGT